AAAAAAAAATCCTTCGCTTTTAAGTTTTGAATAGAACTTTCACTGCGTATGAAATGCTAGGTTACCTGTTATTTTCTTGTAATATGCTAAATGTTGTCATATTTTCTTTTATATTCTCTAGTTATTTTTGAAAGATCCACAGTCACAATGTAGTCCCCACTGAAAATGACTCTTTTATTTCTCTCTGGTCACTTTTAAAATGCTCTTTTCTCTTTCGCTAATTTTTGTATTTTTTAATTCTTAGCAATTTTGCTGGAAAATGTCCAAGCACATTTTTCTGGTATTTATCTTGTCTGATGTTTTAAAATCTTGATTCCATAGCTTGATGTTTTCTCATCAATTTCTGAAAATTCTAAGTTAAAATTTCTTCAGATGTGACTTCTCTATTCTTCCTATTGTTTTATAGGAATATACTTACATGGATTTTTAAATTTTCATTGTAGCACAAATATCTTTTACTTCCTTTGATGTATTTCCTATCCTTTAAGAGAAAATCTATTCTTCCATCCTGTTTCAGAATGAAGTACTAAAACTCTGACTACACATGGCTGAAACTTGTCTCCAACAGTTCAGGTTCCAGGATAAGCGGGGTTATTCAAGGTTCACTGTAATGCTTCCAAAAGTCTCCATCTTTCCTCTTTAATTTATTAGTTTCTTTGACAACAACTCAAGAGTTTCCTGTTGTAGTTTACAATTTTGAGCACCATCATCCTATGATCAGAGGAACGTAAGAGTTCACTGAGCTCATCATGCGACATTCCTCTCACTCTCCTTGTTCAACTCTTCTGCTTCCATTTCGATACCTACTCCTGAACTGGCAGCTGCTTGGTTAGACTTCTCTCGAGGTAACTCTCCTCATATTTGCCCAATGTGTAGCCTATACTCAGATGTATTGTCTATACTAACTGTCTAGTAGTATACTCATTTTGTAAATTCTAAGTTTTCTTCTTTTCTTATTCTTTTTAATGGTTGCTTGAAGCTGTCAGGCTCATATGCTGGGTACCAACTTGAAAGTTTAGATTTCAGATTTGTCCATTCTGCTTAGTCATATACTTTATGTCTAGTGCTTCCCTCCCCCCTTATTTTATATTATTATTAATTAATTTATTTATTTATTTATTTTGCAGAACCGGGGATTGAACTCAGGCCCTTGCGCTTGCCAGGGAAGCGCTTATTCCACTGAGCCATCTCCCCGGCCCCTAGAGAAAGAGTCGGGACAGGGGCGCGAACCGGCGACCTTGCGCTCCAGAGCCTGGCGCGGAGGTCGCCCCCCCCCCCATATTTTAGGAAAGGGTCTATAGCGTGTTTAGGGGCTCATTACTAGATCAGACTCATAGTGATCCGCCTGTTTACAGCCTCCCAAGTGCTGGGATAACAGGCATGCACCACCATGCCCAGTCTCAAATGCTGTCTCAGTGTGCCCCGGGGCGGGGCCGGCACAGCAGGCCCCTGTGCCTGTTTGCAGGCACTTTAATCTGCTGAGCTATTCTGTTCGTCCTACATCTATTCACTTTTTAATCTCTCAAATTTCCTCTCACTCTCCTTACTGTGAGTCCATTGACTAAATTCTTTCTTTTAAAGCTATACTAGGGGTGGTTAGAAAAGAATTTCAGACCAATAATTGTAAGTACCCCAGACATTGACTGCTCCATTTTACCCTTGTTACCATTTAAGAATACTTCTGCTAATTTTGTATTACTTTTGGTGATGATGAAGTAGCTCTGAGAAAACCCACAGATTTATTATGAATAAACTGACAATATATTCTTACTTCCATTTTGAATCAGTGTATAATTTATTTTAATCACTATTTATTAAATATACAATAAAACATAATCTTATTTTTTCCTTGAATTCTAAAACATGAAATTGTGAGAATATAGCACATCTAAAATAATGACCATATATACTTGTCATAATATTTGCAAACCAAGTAGTACAATGACTCTGAGGACTCAACCTACTGTTCACACTAAGCTAGGCATTGAGAGCCCACTGCAGCATCTAAGTGTGATAGGTACTATCTTTTTTTAACAGACGAATGTGCAATGAAGAGGGAGCCAACATCTTGTTGCGAATTAAATAGCTAATAAATTATAGCATTGGGAGAATAAACTCAAGGTTATTTTATATCTGTAATTCAAGACAACAGTCTTTAGCAATCTAGAACTTTGAAAGAGCTTCTCCCAGATAAGGGAAAGAATGAAGTGTCTCCCTCACTTTTGGTCAGGGATACTTTCATGAGCTGTAGGACACAGTTCTGCAACACATTTACTTGTGTTCACTTTTTTCTTCTCTTCTATTGTTGTTCATATGTGGCTTCTGAGATGTTTTCCAATTAAATAATGATAAGTGAAAGAAGTAAGAACTGGAATTAATTATAAATAAAACCTTTTCTCCCTCTAGAGAGAAGGAGAAAAATGTCATCAGGTGCGTTTGGCAGTTGGAAATGGTTTACGTAGTGATGTATGGATCCAATTTTTGGACAGATACGGAGACATTAAGATGTGTGAATTTTATGGAGCTACTGAAGGAAATATTTGTTTCATGAACCACACTGGAAAAATTGGATCAGTTGGGAGAACAAATTTCTTTTACAAAGTAAGTACAGTATTATTCTTCTAAAAGAAACATTCTGAAGAAGTTGACGACCCTTTCTCTAGACTTTATACCTATAAATTATAATTATTGCCGCTTTTTAAAAATTTAAGATCTTTTAATAAAGTAGTTGATGCCTGATGTTATACATTAGTTAAAGCCAGGTTCTTTCCCATTGTTTTACTCTCTAGCATGTGATTAATGACATATGTTTTTGTTTAATTTTAAGTTTAATCATATGATGGATGTGTAAATAGTAAACATAGGTCTTGATACATAATGACTCTTTTAACCTTCCTTAAGTAATTTCATCCTGCTGTTGCTAATTATCTTTCATCATTCATATCACTTCAAATTTAGCATAGGCTTCTAATATTGCTTTTCTTTAAATTTTTTAAAAACATCATTGATATGTTAAACCCCCCCAAAAAACTATCTTTTGAGATTAAAAGCTTGACAGCTGATTAACCAACAAAGAAGCAAAATATAGTGGAGAGATGTCCTTAACTGCCTTGGCAAAACCAACTCTCAAACAGATTTTGCACTAAGCATAATTTTTTAAAGAATAAAAGTGAAAATAAAGAGAAACACTGAAAACTTTATAAAGAAAAATTGATTTTGAAAACCTTAAAGGGGGCCGGCAAGATAGCTCAGCAGACTAAAGTGCCTGCTTAAGGAGAGCACAGTAGTCGGGGTTCAATCCACAGCATGCCCAGCTGTGCCAGCACTGGGATGCACTGAGATAGCAATTGAGATTGAACATGGTGGCGTGCGCCTATAATCCCAGCGCTTGGGAGGCTGAAAACAGGAATATCACTATGAGTCCAATCTATGTAGTGAAACCTGTAGACTCTGTGAAAAAACAAACAAACAAACAAACAAACAAAAACCTTAAAGGAAAATAAAAATATCTTCAGTGAGGTAAATATTTAAATAATAAATGAATTACTTGAACTATTAAGCATATACAAGTCTGGACCTCTAACAACTACAGAATACCTATTCTTGTTGAGCACCTGTAAAGCATTAATAAAAATTACTGCATCAATTAACAAACTGCAACAAATCTCAAAAGATTGATTATATGGATTGTATTCTTGTTAACAGTTTAATTAAGTTATAAATAATTGTTAAAAGACATTTAGTTAATCTATATTTTTAGAAAAATAATTTCTATGTTGCTATGGGTCAACAACAACAAAAAACCCTTATAATATAAACTGGAAGATATTATGAGTTGAATTATAATGAGAATGTCATATTTAAAAACTCAACTCAGCTAAGAATAGCTGAAAATTAGTTGAATGGAGCAAAATGTCTATCTGTAGGTTAATTTTTAAAATGTCAGCTAAAATAAACTCAAAGAAAAATAAAAAGAAAATGAGATAAAGCAAAATTTTGTGGAGTACAACAGTGAAAAATGTCAAAAAATATAATTTTTAAAGAATGAAATAGACTTTGACGAACAGAGAGAAGGTATAACTAATAACATCAGGAATGGAAAGGGAACATTATTACAGCTGCTTAGAAATTAAGACAACCATAAAAGGATATGTAGGATGAGTTCATATCAATAAATTTGAAATTATTAGGCAAATCGGACAAATTTCTAGAAAACTGCAAACTAAAGCACTAACTCAGTAATTATCACACTAAATAAAATGAGTTTGTAACTAAAACATTTGCCTATTCTCAGACAGCTTCCCCGTTGAGTGTACGAAATATTCAAAGAGAAAAGAATTTCAGTCTTAGAGAACGGAAGCCAATTTCCAACTCACTTTCTGTCCCTACACTGATACAGTGGAGAACAAATGTTGACTGGGGCATTTCCAAGTGCCCATGAATAAGAAAGGCCTTCATTAGGCAGAGTTTTCCCCTCCTGTGTACGTCCTCAGTGACCAAACCTAAGCCTTCGCGGATTTCAGAGCACCCCACTCAAGCCTTTTTTGGAATTATACTTGAAAAGACCCTTAAGAATTTCGTGGTGCAGATTTTGGCCCTTTAGTTTTTATGGGATCCTTATCTTATTTAGTTTTATACTAGAAGATTTCTGTGTAATAAACTCCCTATATCAAAGAACACCGGGCTGGAAAAAAAAAAAAAAAAAGGACTGGATTTTCTTGTGAGAGGTAAGTTTTCATTGTGTGGAAGTGGTTGATGCACATAGGCCTTCCCACTGCAGTGATGCCTCTTTCCATCGCCCTGTCCACTGAAATCTGGAGCACAATGCACTAACTTTTTAAATTTAAAGAGGGAACAAATCACTTTTATTTCAGATTCTTTTAGTATGGTGAAGGCCTTGTTTATAGATCAGAAATGCATTTGCATTCGCATCAAAGGTATTTTTGGAAAGTAAATGTTAATCTTGCTAAGTCTTGCATCCCTTACACTTAATTTTCTCAATTCATCGCACTATTTCCATTACAAATTTGTGTGTGAAGTCATTCCAAAGAAATATCTAATGCGTATGATGAAAGTGATTTCATTCTAAATACTTACTGGAGTGTTTTACAATTTTCTAATGTTTTAAATTCTTCCAATCAGAGTGCAATAATGACAATTATTTACTCCAACTTTTTTGGAAAACTTTTAATTTCCAATTAATTTTAGTTTAGCTTTTTCTGGTTTATAAAAGGAAAAGAGTTGTGCCTAATACGAGACAGACTCTAATCTGTCTTTGATTATTTTTTCATATATTATGTGGTTAAATAACAGCTAATCAGAAGAAAAGTTCTAATAGTTGCTTTTTAATTAAATAGGGGGATTTGATGAGTATGAGTCTCATGGATTTAAACCTAATAGAGGGCTATGGTGATTAGCCTCCTAACAGAGAGACTGTTAGAAGTGAAGGAGAAAGATTAGTCAGCACCACAGAGTTCTTAAAATTCAAATGCCTTTTTTTCATGCTGTACCTATTGTAAAGGCTTACAAACCCAGAGGTACTGCCATATGTAAGCCTAAGGTAAACAATGTAAAAACTCTGGTGATAGCATATTTGAAAGACAAATTCAATTAAAAACCATGATCAGTTTTTTGGAATGACTGCTCCAAATAATTTGGAAGGGATAAACATGACATTTAACAATGGCATAAGCCTTGAAAAGAGAAGAAATTACATCTAATAAAAAGTAGATGAAAAATATGAATAAACATTAAAATAATAAATACCTAAAATAACCAAGAAATTTGAGGAAAACGTTTTTCTTTGGGCTCAAAATATTACAGCATTCTCTTTAAAAATAAGAGCCCCAAGGAGACTTTTCTAGAGTAGACATAATTCAATAAAAGGGCTTAAAAATAAATATGCTTAGCTCAAATAAAGAAGGAAAATGAAAATATTAAAGAAATAAACACCACATGAAAAGACTTGAACCCAAAATGAACCATAAAGATTTTCAGAGAGCAAAATGGATGAGATTAACAAATCATTAATCCAAAGTTAAGAGAAAAAGCAACAAACAAACAATAGAAAGCAAAAATACATTTTGAAAATATAGACAGTGTTCTAACATGTGCAGAACTGACATTCTTGGAGGAAGAACAGATTAAAGAGAACTAGAATTATTGTAGTTATAATGGAAAAAGTCTTTAAAACAAAAACTTGAACCATTAGTGGAAAAGAAAACAAACAAACAGAAAAAAAAAAAAAACCCACTATATTCCAGGGAAAGAAATATAGCACAAGATGATCACTGGAAAAGTATTTTCTGATGAAATTATTCAACAGAAATTAAGGAAGCACAGGGAGATGCTGAGGTGTCAATGCAGAATATGTAGCATGGTTGAAGATGGGAACAACTCAGGCCTTTCTCACAACAAAAATAGAATGCATAAAGATGGACAAACGTAAGGACAAGTTTTTACCTAAGGATTTTCATTTTGTCTAAGTTGTCCTTAAAGTATAAAGACAATAGAAGTTTTCTCAAAATGTGAAGGAATCAGAGAATATAACTCATGGATTTATAAAAATGCAATACTTAGCCATAAAATTCACTGAATGAAAAATACTGGTCACCCAAAGTTAAACAGAACTTAGAAAGAAGGAACAATTTTCAGTTGAAAGGTGAATATTCCTCTCATCTCTGACATCAGTTACCAGTTTTGGAGTCCCTTAAGTTCATATTCAATAATTCGAAGATTCATAAAACTCAGTGAAATCCATGATAGTCAGAAGCTTCCACTTATCACAACTAAAGGTTGTAGATTCAAATCAGTCAAGGAGGAAAGGTGCAAGGCAAAATCCAGGCAAGAATGAGGGGAACGGTTTTCAGATGTGCTATCCTATGACATTAGAACACATCACTTTCCTGGAATTGAGATGTGACAATAGACACAATTCCCTACTTGTGCTGCAAGTGGGGAAAATTACCAGACCCTTGGCATCAAGAAGCTTTTGGGGGGCCTGATCGTACAAAGCTCATTACCTGGTCCCAGTTTCATCACCTGCTTCTCAGAGGTGACAATGGGTGACTCAAAGTCCTTACTGCTGTCATCTTGTTACTTTGGCTCAGAGACTCCACCCAAATTATATTGTTATTCTGTGGTTGGTCCAAGTCTGTTAGACCAACACATTCCTAGAATCTCACAAGGATTGAGATATTACTTCCCAAACTGAGGGTGATAGATAGACCTCTTTCTGAGCAAGGGTAAAAGAATTTTGTAGAAATTCTTTTCTACAAAAGAACTGATAGTACACTTTGAGTGTTAGCTATGTCTACTTAACTTTGATGTATTTTTTACATTTCTGTGTGTAAGTGATATATGTATATGCAAATATATATGAATATGCAAATACACACAAGTATGGAGGGCAAAAGACACAGTGAAAATAGATTTCTTGGATAATGAACCTCAGTCATGCACATTAGTACTGCATTCATCTAAAAGAAATAACTACGAGATTGATATCACATGTCTAGGGAGATTTTCTGAAATCTAAAGCATGTTGAAACAGGAGAGAAAAGAATGAATAATGAAAAGGGCTCAGTTTTTATTTGGCCAAGATGATGAAGCCAGTTCTGGAACTTCTGGAGTCTTTAATCAGCCATTCGGCAAGTGGCCAGTGTCATTTTATCACAAATACAAAGGCCAACAAAATGAATGTTTGTGTTTTAATAAAGAACATTTATGTCCTTTTCCATTGATCCTAATCTTAAAATACAATAACATTACTTTTGTCCCCTACCTAGCTTGTTTTGATGCTTAAATTTAGCATGTGCTATAAGTGTTTGACATATAGTAAGTACTCAATGGATATTAGCGGCTCTCATTTGTATTTTTTTGGGGTGGGGGGCGAAACCAGGGATTGAACTCAGGCCCTTACTCTTGCCAGGGAAGCACTTATTCTACTGAGCTATCTCCCTGGCCCCTGTATTTTAATGTAAATAATGAATCATGAAAATGTGCTGATTTTGCCAAGATTAATTATCAGAAATGTTTTGGCTAATATTAAGTAACATTAATACCCTTACCTCACTAATCTTATTTCTCTTTCCCTGCTTACTTGTTCTCTGTTCCTTCTGCCTCCTACTTTTTCTTTTGTTTTCCTTATAAATTTCACTCATTTTATTTTATTAACTCCATGTTTGCTTACTATTTCTAGAGAGTTTAATAAGATTACTTGTTTAGTTATCAGTAAAGCCTCAGTTCGCTCATAAACAAAATGCGAAGGTTGGTCTAAACCAGTTTGCAGTTCTCTCCCATGGTCAGAATTTAGTGGAATGACATGTCAGCATAGCATGAAAATAAGGGTATCTCAGGGCCAAAGTAGCTGGAAATACAGGGGCATGAGGGGGGACATTCACTTAGCTCAGCTCCCACTGTCACAAGGATGGACCGACAATGTTGCCATCTCTCTCGGCAACAGTTTATAGAAGTACTAAATGTTAGCTTAGGAACAACAAGGTGAGAGCCCTAGATGACAAGGCCCAAGTGATTATCAAGTGACTGTGCTCTCTAGGCATTTGGTGACTTTTCTGGAAACTGTAGGGAAAAAATAAACAAATCATGGCACTCTCCTGGTTTGTTTTTACTTCTAGTTGATTTTTCCTTTACAAAAGACGGTATGAATGACTCCTCTCACCCATAGTTAGAAGAGGATGTAAATAACTGCTTGGTTTGTGTCTGTATCTCAATAAAATTCATTCATAATTAAAACTTAGTTATGTTTTTCTAAAATAAAATAAAACACAAAAGAAACAAATAAATGCCAGGAAAAGAGTGCTACTTGGTAGCACCTTCAGTTGTGAGTTTCAAGTATTTAATTTTTTGTAACTTATTTTATTAAAGCCATACCCTAGTTACTTCATCTGAGCATAAAATCAATTATTAGATGTTGTGGCACAAATAACTAAATGTTTGTTCTATTCTTCATTTTGGTTTCACAGCTTTTTTTCAGTTTTGACTTGATAAAGTATGACTTTCAGAATGATGAACCCATGAGAAATGAACAAAACTGGTGTAGCCGTGTGAAGAAGGGTAAGACTCACGTTTGAAGATATCTCCTTAAGCAAAGATTCTAACTTGTATATAATTAGTACTGAATTTGAAAGGAATTATTAGTCATAATGTGTAATTGGACTTATTTGGCATTTTAACGCAGGTAGGACAGTTGAATTACTTATTAGGTATTTCTAATTATTAAATTATTAAAATTTAAAAAGTGATTATTTAGCTAGTTTGCTTTATCTACCACTTCCAATTGATAATGATGTCATGTGTCCAATGTCCATATCATTAAGCAATACGCTATTCTGGATATAGTGAAAAGTCAGGCCAACTTGAATTTAACTCTTGGCTTTCATATTTATAAACTGAAACCATGCGAAGGCTGTTCAACCTAATTTTTTCATATATGAATTAAAGATAACAACATTCCACGTGGCTGTCACTGACCATCAGATAAGGTGTGTGAAAGGCCCTGAGCTTGTTCCCTTTCTCTGTTCTTTGTCTATCACCTCTTTTCACAAGATAGACCTACAATTTGAGTCTACAAATGTTAATTAAGGAAAGTACCCAAATTAACAACATATAATCAAATGTAAAATGAAATGAAATGTAGAGACATGCACTTAGAAGTTCAGTCTCAATAAAGCAGTTCAAGCTTGCTGTTCACTGCCTTATAGTGCCTCAAACTGCACTTCAGAGATGACTTCCCTAGTGTTTTCTGCAGTGTGGGAAGATAGATTGCAAAATTGTAGCTAATGTTCTGGTAGCTGACAGCCTGAAAAATGTAAGCCATTGTTATTTTAAAAAATTCTCCAAATCCTGACTTTCAAGCCTGTAGGCATCAATCAAATGTTCCTCTAATTCAACTCTGCAGACACTTCCAATAGAAAAGCAATTTCTAAAGAGATTACGAAGAACTTAAAAACAAAATTTTTTTCAAGAAAAACCACAAGTGCTTTATTACAATTACAGTAGTATCTGATATTGGGATTGGAATCTCAGAACTATGCATATTGTCTCAGAGGTTCTTAAAATGCTATGTGACCCCCAAATATTGCTTTAATATTTTAGAATTCTCATTATAAATTACTCCATTTTTTTCATGAAAACATTGTGTCACAATTCGGGTTAATTATGCCCAAACAAGGATAATATGAACACATTTGGACTTATTATGTCTAATTATTAGCTCATCAGAGAAGACACTCACCTGTGTCCTAAAATAGAAAAAAACAAAGAATATTGAGTCTTTTGAAGACTCAATAATCTTCCTGTCAAGAATTCCCAGCATAGCATCACAGGCTAATAAATTATTTCTAAATTATTTCTAGTATCAGAGAGAATGTTTTGTGGGACCTTTGCCACGAAATCATGGAGACTTGTATTTGAATTCTAGGGCTATTTGTTTCTCTGACAACTTAATTTATTCCTCTGGGAACTGCTTCCTTCCTTATAAAATAAGACTTAGGACTTTCAAATGATTTCTGAAAAGAATAAGTAAAATGCATGTTGCAAGGAGGTCATGGAGGTATCCAACAGATATTCCTTCATCGTTTCATTAGAATTATTAGAGTTGGTATTATATTGCAGTCAATATTTCCTGCGTTGAAATCTATGTAATCCAAAATGAAAATAGCAATTGGGCTATCAACTCAGAAAGTTAAAGAATTTAGTATACCTTTCCTTTCCTTTCAATTCCCTTTTTGTTTTTTTCAAATTTGTGTTCTTGGTAGTCCTTGAGAGGATGTATGGGTGTCTATGCTGAGAATAGGAGAGGTCAAATATGATAGAAATAAATTCAAGGAAAGTGAGATGAGCAACAGTGACTGAGTTAGACAAGTTTAATTTGGATACATTTTGCTGAACTCATGCACCTACAATATTTGGATGGCAATGGAATCTCCATCTCTGACAAAACTGAACAAAAAAAGATGATATAAATGAAGGACCATTTTGTATCTGTATATACAAAATAGGATAGATATATAGCTACTTTCTCTTAATTCAGTAAGAAGAAAGATCTGTACTAATAGTGTTTGGACAGGATATTATGTCTGCATCTTGTGCTATGAATGACTACCACACAGACAATACGCAATGTATTAATTGTTGTAACTCTCCTACCAACCTGTTTTGAAGCTGTCACATTGCAATTTTTTCTCAATAAAATTAATTTTAAAAAGAAAAAAGAAAAAAAAATAGATACATGTAACAGTACTTTTCATCACACAGATGTTAAAATCCCCCTTCCTCTTGCAGGAGAACCTGGACTTCTTGTGTCTCGTGTGAATAAAAAGAATCCCTTCTTTGGTTACGCTGGGTCTTATAGGCACACAAAAAATAAATTGCTTTTTGATGTTTTTAAGAAGGGAGATGTTTACTTCAACACAGGAGACTTAATGATCCAAGATCACGAGAACTTTCTTTATTTTTGGGACCGTATTGGAGACACTTTCAGGTATGAACTCTGCCAAGCCTGACCTGATCTGTAATTGCTGTGCTTTTCTGGAAACATTGGAGACGATATGTTCTTTCGCTGTGAAATCAGACAAAGCCCTTTTCCTCTGTAATGCCAGCCCACCTAAAAACTTATTGATCATCTATTGCTAGACTGAACCATAAGGTAAAATTCAATAACAAAAAATTAATGAATACTTTAGTGTGTATCAATAAGCCCCCTTTTTTTAGAATACAAAACTTCCAGATAAAGTTGAAGTGCAAATAGTACTGTTAAACAGAAAACCAATTTGGTCAAGGTGGTCTAATTCTTCTAGTGAAAAATAAAGTGAAATTTTTTTCTGTCTTGTATTTCTTTTTTTAATCTCCTAAAATTATTTTAGGTCTATACAATTATTTTGCTACAGTAGTCATTTTTGGGGTGTATTATACAGCATTTTACAGCAAGAATTTTTACTATGAAGGCTTAGGGAAAATAATTTACACCAAAATCTAGATGCTGATTTTGCTGACTTAATCGACAAAGTGCTTCTTCAGAAATGATCTTTGATTTGAAAACTAGTCATTTTTTATCATGAGGTGCTTGCATAGAACCAAATGCAAGGCATTAAAGCTAAAAGCGTGTGACTAATGCTTCCAATACAGGTGTATTAATGGAATTTGTTTTTCATTTAGGTGGAAAGGAGAAAATGTTGCAACCACAGAGGTTGCTGACGTTATTGGAACATTGGATTTCATACAGGAAACAAACGTGTACGGTGTGGCTGTGCCGGGTATGAACAGACTTTTGATTTTGAAAATTTTTCAGAGTAAAATATACGAGTATGCTTCAGTTTTTAAGTTATTCTACCAACTCAGTTTTTAATTGTTAGCTATTAAAAGAAACATCTTTGTCTTGGCAAGTGACATCCTCGACTAAGCTAAATTCATGGGCACATTAGGACAAATATACTAAAATGTATTTTTAAACAGAGCCTGAAAAATTTGTTAAGTGATTCACTCACTGGTTGAGAATTGTTGAAGCTTTTTTTTTAAATTTTTAGTTTTTTGTTTTGAGGACCAAACCCAGCATTTCCAGCTTGCTAGGCAAACATTCTACTGCTGAGCCAAATCTCTAGCCCCCTAAAGCTTTTCAAGTTCCATTATTTTTGTGCATTGACTAGGGCTTGTGAATAGCATTAGAAAAGAATGTTCTAGTTAAATATTTAATAATGCTAACTTGTTCTTTTAAAAACTTATATTTTGAAAACATTTAAAATTTGCATGGCTTCATACAATTATATTGTAACATATAATATATATGTATTTCATGATAGATTATACAAAATGACCAATTTGAAGTCACAGCAAAACTGTCTTTTTTCACTGTCCTTTTTTGTTTTTAAGAATTGAAAATATTTTCCAGCTAATGCACATAAAAGTGGGAGATACGGGATGAGGAGTGCTTGAATAGGGGAGCATAGGAAGGGATGTTTACGGAGTAAACCATCACTGCGTACTAGGGAAAGGTTGCAGCATGGTCTGACCCCTAAGATCAGGCATGAGCAGGGAGGAATGTATGGAATTAAGGAAATTCAAGTTCTTAGTTTTAACTTAAAATGCATCCTTTTTGCATCAATGTATAAAATATCCACTCCTATTGGAATATATTTGCATTTAAATAAGTATTTTCTTTCATAGTATTTTTGCTAGTGGTAGTAGTATGTAAACTATTAAATGATTGGTAACTTCAGTTGTGCATTCTGTGTATTTTATTCTTGTACCATACACGATTAAAGATAGATTATGGATTCCCCTATTCTTTAATTATTTCTAGGGAGGGGCACATACTAATTAATACCACTGTTGCATTGTTATTACACTAATAATTTTAATGCCTCTGTAGAAATGAATATGTTAACAGGACTTTAATTCATCTGGCATTTACATTTGATTCCATATCAAATTTTCTTTCAGGTTATGAAGGAAAAGCAGGAATGGCTTCTATTATTTTAAAACCAAATAAGTCTTTAAACTTAGAAAAGGTTTATGAGCAAGTTGTAACATCTCTACCATCTTATGCCTGCCCACGATTTTTAAGAATTCAGGTAATTCTGCAGTCTAACTCAAACCTAAGATCAGAAACCATGACATGGTTTAGCAACGATATATTATATCCTTTAGATTAAGTGATACCTCTGTTCAGGAGCTTAATTCTTTCCATGATTCTGGTCGCAAATCAAATTGGATAGGAACTCAATTAAATTCAATGCCTATTTTCATTACTGACCTGGTGGGGAAATTTGATTCAGTTCTTTTCCAATTTGGTTTCTGACCAGAATTGTGGATGACTTTGTGAACTGAGGTGTCATTGTACACTTTACTTTATTAGAAAATGTGAAGAATAATCACAAACACAGGGCATAGAGTTTAGAGTTTGTGGTATTTGAAGTCTAAATAAGAAATATATTTGTATATATATTTGTCTTCATCTTGATTTTATTTATTTGTTTTTGATACAGGTTCTTGCTGTGTCTGTCTTGATTTTAAAATCACCTTCTTCTTCTTCTTCTTCTTCTTCTTCTTCTTCTTCTTCTTCTTCTTCTTCTTCTTCTTCTTCTTCTTCTTCTTCTTCTTCTTCTTCTCC